GACCTTTGATAAAGAAGGCGAGAAACATGATAGAATTCTTCAAGTGATTCTGTGATTCTACGATATGTATGATACTAAAGCAGCAGGAGTTGATAAAGGCTATGGCACCAGCCAGCAATAAAGTGTAGCATTAAGATATTGGCAGTTTGGAGGGATATGTTGTGTATCTTTATACGTATATGCTTCTAAACTGTTGTATTCTGAGCACCTCTGCAAAAGCAGTGATAATGTGCGAGTGTGGTGAAAGTGTTGAATGATGATGAAAGTATTTTCTTTTTGGGGATTTTCTTTCTTTTTTGGGTCACCCTGCCTCGGTGGGAGACGACCAACTTGTTGAAAAAAATAACAAAAAAAAAAATTAAGAGTGTAGTAAGTTAAGCGACTGATAGAAAAAGGACAACACGAAACTAGCCCCTCCAAAGTTGCTGGAGGTTTACAGGGCCATTGACAACATACACTGCCCTGTGCTATCTTCCACCACCCTAAACCTCTGCCAGCATCTCCTCCAAGGTAAGTGTGTACTATAGTATACATAAAATAACCACTTTATTTCTTTACATTCTCTATTATGTTTTTATACAATATTTCTTATTTATAAATTACGTACATTGTTTCAATGTTTTCCTTATGAAACTGTGATGTAGTGCAGTTAGCCTCACAAAAACTCTGTTTTCTCTTATAATAATGGGAAGATATGTACAGTGGACCCCCGGTTTACGATATTATTTCATTCCAGAAGTATGTTCAGGTGCCAGTACTGACCGAATTTGTTCCCATAAGGAATATTGTGAATTAGATTAGTCCATTTCAGACCCCCAAACATACACATACAAACGCACTTACATAAATACACTTACATAATTGGTCGCATTGGGAGCTGATCGTAAACCGGGGGTCCACTGTAGTTACAGCAGAAGTATGGCAGCTGCCGCAGCCACCACTAACCACATACATAATGACATATTTTATTCATTCTAGAGTATATATCATGTTTCTATGTTATTAATATTGTTTATTATGTCATATTAGATGAAATGTGATAGATAAATAAGCCATAGAGTTGATATTAGTGTCATATTCAAGTACTATTTTGTCCAGTCTCCAAACAAACTCTCCTCCCTCTCCTCTCCTCACTCTTCCATACGTCAACAAGACTCTTCAATAAAGGTAAAAGTGATTTAAATGTTCATTTATCCATTTCATTAGTCCTTTATATTTATTTCTCACTGTTTTCTGTATGTAAAACTACAGTTACTTTCTATAAATGTATTTTTTTTTAATACTTTTGGGTGTCTGAAACGGATTAATTGAATTTACATTATTTCTTATGGGAAATACTACTTTGGTTTTCGTACGTTTCGGATTTAGGCCGATCTTCTGGAACGGATTAAGTACAAAATCCGGAGTTCCACTGTACTAGCGAAATAGCTATGAGTTTGATTGACTGGAACAATGGAATTGGGCCAAAATAGGGCTCCAAGTGGACGAAATCACTGATGTGTAATTATCACCAAGAACACTAACTTTGCAAGAGCGTAATTCCGTAAGTTATCCATCAAATTTCATACTTTTGTTTTCATTACCTCTGGAAAAAGATTCTCTACCATTTCACAAGAAAAATTTTTTTTTTTAATTCTTTGATCCTGAGAGCAAGTTTGCGAGCAGGGGTCACAACACTGAAAGGGTTAAATAGAGATTTTACTGTCCAATCTTGGTAAATATAATACCAGGGATACAATATTGTATCTTTATTTCACACTGCTAACTTCTCAATAACTCCAAAGCTGTTATATTCTTTGTAGCTATAATACCAGAGTTATCTGGCAGAAACAGGTGGTATACAATACAGACACAATGGAAGTAAAAGAAACATAAGCAGTATGGAAGCCTTTAGTACAATAGCAAATGACATTTTGCTTCAACACTAAGAAGCTTAATGAAAGCTCAAAACTTGGTCTCCAAGCTTGGTGTCCAAGATTTGCATCCAAGGTAAGTGTCCAAGCTTGGCCTCAAAGCCTGGCTAATAAAGGTTTCCACACTGCAAGCACAATTTAAAAAAATACATGAATAATCTTGAAACTTTTGTGAAGAGGCAACATTTCAAAAAATTATTTAAATTTTTTTGCAACATATGGTTAATATTATTTGCTTTTGTGTGTGATGTGAATAAAAAAAAAAGTCGAAAGTCTAATCATTTATCTTGTGAGTAATACAATATATGGATAAATGTGAGGAGGAGAGAGACAGAAAAGAGAGAGAGAAGACAAAGAAAAGAAGGAAGATGAGAAAGAAAAGGAAAAAAGACTATCAAAATTATTTGTGAAGAGAACTGAAGAGGAATAAAAACACAGAGGGATTATGGACAGCGTGAATTATTATTATAATCAAAAAGAAGCGCTAAGCCACAAGGACTATACAGCATGGACAGCGTGAAGCAAGCTTCTATACCACAAGACGGGCAGAAAGCAGCAACTTCACTCTGGGTGTACCCTTCTCTAAAACATCACTTCATCTGAGATCATTTATCCCCAGGATGACTCGAGTATGGAACACGTTCGTACAGCATTATGATGTCAACGAGATAAAGTAAGTTAATCAGATGAAAACGCTGGCCTACAGATTGCTCCAACTTCATCCTGTTCCCTATTTGTATGTTTCATAACAATAAAAATGCTTTCAATCCTGGGGGACAAGATTAAGGACCCCAATGGAAATAAGTTAGACAGTCCTCGATGACGCACTGACTTTCTTGGGTTATCCTGGGTGGCTAACCCTCCGGGGTTAAAAATCCGAACGAAATCTTATCTTATCTTATCTTCAAATGAGCTGATGTAGGTAACAGCTCTTAGCTCGTCAATAAAGTTAGGAATCCTTAACCTGTAAATAGCTAACCTTGTCAAACCCTGTATATAAAAAAAAAAAAAAAAAAAAAAAAAAAAGTAGAGACTTGTGAAGGTAAGTAATAACAGGGGAAAGGAGGATAATAATATAATCAAATTAAGCACTGAACATGGAGAAGAAGGGAAGGAAGAGGGTGGAGCAGGAGGGGGTAGAGTGGGAAGGAAAGAGGGTAGGAGAGAAGGAAATAGTGTAGAGGGAGAAACTGTATTTATGTACAGTATATGCATGCATATGTGCAATCACAAAGATAATATTAAACACACTTATAGTGTATAAACATTTTTGTAACAGTGTAAGTCATAAAATATTGTAGTGTATGAATACTGTCTTGTAACAGTGTAAGTCAAAAAACACTGTCTTGTAATGGTGCAAGTAATCACATACTTGTAGTGCATGGACAGTGTGTTGTGACAATGAAGTCATCATGCAGACACATGCCTAGTGTTAAGCCAGTCACCCCCACAAGGGCACAAAACTGTTTCTCTCCAGTAGTGCACATAAGGCAGGAGAGTGTAGCCATCCATGTGTCACCACACATTCCACATTGGGGATGTGTCAACCTCATAATACGAATCAAAATTTTCTATTAAACATATGGTAGGAAGAAGTTAAATTTACATTTCCTGTGCCAACCTTGAGACTTCGGCTAGCCTGCCACCAAACAATATACTGTACAATATAAACAGTATTTTAAAATGGTTATTAGAAGTATTAAATTTAATTCCAAGACCTGGAGCTTGAGGATTCTTTATAAATTATTTTTGATTCCTAAATTGTAGATCAAAGATAAGCCAAAAACACCAACTCTGTCAAGCTGCACATATTGATGTAATTTGATCATATCTAAAAGGACAATGAATATTTCTGATGAATTAATATACATGAGCCATTTCCTAATTTCAAAATTTATGATTGTTCTGACAGTCACTGCACAAGCTGGATGAACTATGGTTTATTCCAAAATCCCTTACATAATAAGGGGCTTTCTACAAGTAGTTTATATAGGTTACAGTTTTTATTTTTTGTTTATGTGCACTGGAACTTCAAATCTGTATACTTCTGAGCCAATGTACCAGGATAAACAAATAATTGAAAAAATCAATATAATGTTCTGTAGCCTGAGATAATGTGCACTATGGAGGGTTCAGAAACCTTATGAGATCTCCATTGCTTCCCTCACCCCTGCCCCTTGTCACCTACCTCACCCCTGCCCCTTGTCACCTACCTCATCCCTGCCCCCTGTCACCTACCTCACCCCTGCCCCCTGTCACCTACCTCACCCCTGCCCCCTGTCACCTACCTCACCCCTGCCCCCTGTCACCTACCTCACCCCTGCCCCCTGTCACCAACCTCACCCCTGCCCCCTATCACCTACCTCATCCTTGCCCCCTATCACCTACCTCACCCCTGCCCCATATCACCTACCTCACCCCTGCTCCCTATCACCTACCTCACCACCTGCTCCCTATCACCTACCTTACCCCTGCCCCCTATAATCTACCTCACCTCTGCTCCCTATTACCTACCTCACCTCTACTCCCTATCACCTACCTCACCCCTGCCCCTTATCCCCTACCCCACCCCTGCCCCCTATCACCTACCTCACCTCTGCCCCATATCGCATACCCCACCCTAGCCCCTATTGCCTCTCTCACCTTTACATTTGCGATTTGCACACCTAGTGTTCTTATTATCAAGCAGATCATTTACTAAAATACTGTATATTCTATTACATACAGATAACTGCATATAAATTTTACGACAAAGCCGCTTGCATTTAATCAAATATATTTATGCCAATTTTAATACAAAAGTCAGGGTATACTCTTAAAACAAATCATATAAACAGATTTCATTACTCACTGATGAAATACTTAGAAATAAAGCAGAGTAAATC